TTTATTGTAAGGCTACATTAACAGAATCTTGGAAGTCTGAAAGTACAAATCTCCCGCCCTCCCTATTTATTGCCTGATAAGTTAGGGTGAATCTTTTTTAGTTGCTTTCTGTGTCCGTTATGCAGCTGCGGGCTCCTCTCCCTTTTATCTGATCGCTCCCTAAGCAGCATCTCTTACCCTCATCTTTCAACGTCACTCCCACATACCATTACGCTCCATGGTTTGCTTAGTAGGAGGCAGCTTCCAATGCTTTTAACATCCCTTGATATTTTCTGTGAACAGGGATATGTACCAGGTGATGAGAGGAGTCACTTGGATTCAGAGCTGGCAGTTTGAGGTAGATGGTGAAATAGTTTCTTGGTAGCTTCTTATGGGAGGGAGGGAAAAACAGTGTTCTGCTATCAACTAGGATGGTCACATGCTTCCTTCAGAATCAGATGCTTCTGAATGCGAGCTGCAGGGCGGTAGGAGCAGAAGACATTTATGGCTACATGTCTTGCTTCTGGGTTTCCCAGAAGTATCTCTCTGGTTCCATTGGGGAAGGGATCCCAGAGATTAGATAGGGCTTTGCTCTGATCTAGCCAGATTCTTTTGAGGTTCCCAACAGGGCCCTTCATTCTCTGTACAGTGACAAATGGCAGGAACATCATGTTCTTGCTTATCTCCTTCTTGCAGGCCTTTGATCAGTCTGAATTACTTGAATGCATCCGGCAGCTGATCCGGGTGGACCAAGATTGGGTCCCGCACTCCAATACGGCCAGTCTCTACATCCGCCCCATCTTCATTGGCACCGAGGTGGGTACTGGTGTTCCCGACTGGAACACCGATCTCTTGGGATTTCCATAAATAACAATGATTTAAACAGGTTGCCATTTCTAAATATTGCCTTTTCCTTGTTTCTGTTCCTTCTAATTTCCAAAATCTGATCCTTTTGCTTAGCAAAGCCACATTTCATTAAAACAAGGTGATAGACTCAGAAATAATGTCATCAGGCTTGTGTTTCTGTTTCCCATTTCTCACTCTCCTTCTGTGGGACTTGGCTTGTTTAGCTCACTAATTTGATTACTAAATGAGCCATTTTATGGGTTTTAACCATGTACTCAGATGGGCTGGGTGCACACATTGTAAGCAATAAAAACTAGCCATAGTTAAAACTAACCAAGATTAGCATATATGAATACAGGCCCTATGTTTTTACTTGACCTAGTTAAGTGTGTTGTGGAAATGCAGCCGTAGTGTAAAAAAAAAAAAAGTTGAATCTCCTTTCAGTCAAGCTCAGTTTCTGGAGATGCTGAAGTCAAGTTCATCCAGTTTTCTTGGCAATAGCATGGAAATAGTTTGCCACTGCAGTCTTCCACAATTTTTTTCAACTTCTCAGTCTGGCCTATAGGTAGCCCTGGTGGTCTGTCACTCAAGCACTCAGCAGGCCTGCTGTGATGGAATGGAACTAT